AGCATTAATCCAAAAGAGGGCTCGATACCGATAGTAGAGCGATAATTATTTATTTATTATAATTTTATCATATAGACAAAACTATTTTACTTACTGCAAAGATGCAACTTGGCTTCAGTGCATTTCAACTGCACTTTGACGAGTGAGAATCGAAAATGGTTATGAACAATCCTGCTTGTAGACAAGCCGTATGTGAAACGTCACTTCCTTTTTTTCCATTTGTTTGAGAATAAAAAATATAGGTGCCAAAGTGAAACAATAGTGCTTGTTGATAGCAGTTTGGTGATGAATGGATTGGATGTTTAATGTTGACTGGTCTGTGGAAATTTTCCTGCTGATAAACACTGGCTTGCCTACAAGCAGGATTGTTCATAACCATTTTCGATTCTCAGCTGTCAAATGCAGTTGAAAAATGCACTGAAACCAAGTTGCATCTTTTGTACTGAGTAAAATGGTTTAGTGTCTATCTGATAAAATTATAATAAATAAAAATAATATATATATATATATATATATACATACAGGAAGTTCATAAAGTTCGTGAGCACTTTATAAATTGTTTAAAATGCACACGAACTTTATGGAAACATATATATATATATATATATATATATATATATATATATATATATATATATATAACTCTTATACTAGAGATAAATATAAACAGAATATAGATGGTAAAATAAAGCAATAATTTTTCTGCAATATCAATTTTTGTTAAATCATGTCTGTTATTGTAACAATAGAAATTGTGCAGGGAAAAAAATCTGGTTTACTTTTTGTTTTTATCATCAATTTCCAATCAAAATATTAATTGAATTTCATCAACCAAAATCACTGGAGAATGTGGTCCTTGCTTCTCCTTGTTTGAGAGGTTAAAAGTGCATCGATGCTTATAAAATCCCCACCACGATATTCTCACTAAACCATTCTAGAAGATACATGGAAGCCAAATAAGGAAAAACATTTCCTCAAAGATTGTCCCTGATTGTTCACAGCTTTTTCTCGATATTGTTACAGAGGTCGCATAATTCCTGGAAAAAAGATAAAAAGACAAAGATTTACTCAAATTATTTTTTATAGATTTACAGAAATAATGATTTTCATAATCTATATTTACATGCATCAGCATGTTGACCAAGTGGTTAAAATGTTAGCATTCCAACCATGAGACCTGAGTTCAATTCTTGCCATCTGTAATATGTCAAGGAGGTGACCTCTTGATAATAGCACCCAAGGGAGATGATCCCACCATGTGGCATCATTCAGAAGTATCAGAAAACCATACCATAGACTGATCCAAATTTATGAGTGAAAATGGGTCAACAGAAATGTTTGGAGGTTGTTATTGGTTGTAATGACACAAAGTGACAAGTCACCATGACTGATGGTTTCAGTGTACTAACCTTGTTTAAATGATCGCATTAGATTATGAGATCTCTACACGAAAAAAAGCCACGAAGGCACAAGCCATTACTGAATGTGACAGAATAAGGAGAAAAGTATATTATTAAATAGAGCAGGAACAATAAAAGAAGAGGAATTAAGAAAACAGTAGATAATGATTGAGATTGAATTTAAATTTTTGAAGATCAAAGTTGGCTGGAAAGGAAAAAACCAGAAGAGAGTCCCACAGGCGAGAAGTGCGAGAAAAAAAACTGTTAGTAGAGGACTTATGATTACATCTAGCCATTTCGGCCGTAATATGATGTGGTCATCTTGTCAATCTAGTATTGCGCTTAAACTCAAAGTCTAGATACCAGTAAGGAATGCACATCAGAACAATTACCATGAAAGTATTTATAGAAAAGGCAAAGGAAAGGCTATTTTACAGAGGTGGGAAAGTGACTGAAGCTGAGATGCCAGGTTAGAACCAATAACATTGCAGATTCTTTGTATTTTATCATGGATCTCCAAATATGTAGCAGGCACACCAGACCAGATGTGGCAGCAATATTCAAAGCAAGGACGAATGGTAGACTTAAAAATATGTAAAATAGATTCTGACAAGAAAAATTGTCTAGCACGACACAGGGAGCCAACTTTCCTAGCAGCAGACCTATATTCAATAAAATCTTTCCATTTCATGCAGGCGGAAAACGTTAGTCCAAGATGGCGCAATGTGTCACTTTCCTGGAGGTTAGCATCAGCCATGCAGATGGAAGGCAGAAAGGGGTCTCTCAGATTATTAATAAAGACATTGGTTAGATCCAGTGACAGGACCCAAGGAGTGTGAGTTCAATACCCGGTTAAGGCAGTGGAGAACTTTCAGAGGGAAAATTAGCAGGAGATAACTGAGAACTGACATCCATCAAACATGGCACGTGGAACTAGAACAGTCTACCCCAGTGAGCGAAATAAAGGGTTCGGTTCGACATTCCAACCACCTGAAGAAGGCCGGAGCGTACAACGGCCAAAACGTTGTAATAAATATGGCGGCAAAGATGAGGACAATAATCCGAATAATGTAAATAATGTACATACATATATATATATATATATATATATATATATATATAATTATTTATTCGAAAAATTATAATATAAATATGTTATAAAATCACTACAAAAAATATATATGTTTATATATGTGTGTGTGTGTGTGTGTGTGTGTGTGTGTGTAAAATAGATTAGTTAATAAAATGAGGACAAACAAAAGGGTACCAATATAATCAGTACGATAAACATTTATTAAATATTAATTCTTAACCATATGACAGAAATGAAGCACAGAAAGAAAAGTTTTAAGTTCAGAATTTTCAGACACACTTGTGTCCTTCATAAATGGATCAAGATATAAACAAAGAAATGGGAAAGATGTTTTTGTAGACAGTGTATTTTCTGGTGGAAATCATATTGTTAGGAAAAACACAATCTCTGTCTGATTTTTCAGTTTGCGAAACTTTATATGAAAATAAACTTAAATTTAAAATTTTGATCGCTGCAAAAAGCATTAGGCAGATCTAATTTTACTTGTGGGGGCGGATGGAGGAGTGAGATTGCAAACATAGATGAAGAGACTTATAGGCTGAAGAGGGGGAAAGACGTCTTGTGTGTAGCCAATTGTAGCCAAAATTTGTCTGACCAAATTTAGAAAGACAGGCTGTGGTTAGAGTAACATGTGACGAGAAAAAAGCGAGGAGGAAAAATGGAATATCTAATAATAAAATATTATTAAATAAAATGAAATGAAAAGAAAATAGGGAAGGAAAAATAAAATGGATAAAAAATTTTGAATAAAAATTTGGAAATCTATCGTTACCAAAAAAAAAGTGAATTTACAAAAAATAAAATAAAATAAAACCAATAATTAATAAAAAAAATATAAAGAAAATTTTCTAATTACACACACACACACACACACACACACACACACATATATATATATATATATATATATATATATATATATATATATATATATATATATATGCAAGTATAGGATTGGTGTGGGCAGAATAAAATTCAATAACCAAAAATACTATTCTTAAAAAGAGTGCTCAATACAGAGTAGAGCAAATATTATTTATTTAAAAATGATAACATAAACATTTTATAACATCACTACAAAAATAGCCATTTTGTTTCAACACTTCTGGTGTCTTCTCAAGTAGAAGTGCTGAAACAAAATCGCTATTTTTGTAATGATGTTATAACATGTTTATGTTATCATTTTTTAATAAATAATATATATATATATATATATATATATATATATATATATAAATTAAAAATGAAAGATAGTCCACGTGTGCTTCTTATAATAGGCCTATGAATGAAAGGTGAGGAATAAAAAGACAACAAAACGATAAAAATATTGTCAATAAAACTGATATTTATCATATATTAGTAGGTGTTTTCACTAAATTGAAGCACAAAGAGAAAGATCTCTCTTTACGAGATGCGACCTACAAACTGGAAATCAAGCAATTACAGAAATTGAAAAGTCTAGAAAGTGTTCCAATAGAGGAGGGGAAAATGTGACACTGAAATCCGAATGCATGTAGAAATAGCGAAAAATGCTTTCGCAAAGCTAAGTATTAAGAAACAAGAAAATTTCATAAGAGTCAAAAAGTATTGTGTAATACTGTTCTTCCTATATGACAGTGAATATTGGACACCTTCCTCACAGATGAAGGGGAGATGAGGCAATTGATGTGGTTCTACAGAAGGATGCTGAGGATACAATAAACAGAGCATATGAGCAACAAAAAACATTTAAGGAAAATGAAAACAAAAAAGAGGTTTGTACTTAAAATCAGAAGGCGACAGCCGAAATTTCTGGAACGCATACTGAAGAAAGAAGGCTTGGAGAATTTGACACTTAGAGGAAATATCGAAGGCAAGAGAGGTCAACAGTGCATAAGCGACTTAAAAAGATTGCATGAATGGATCTCAGAAAACAGATGGTAAGTTGGCAAAGATTATTCGAAGTTATGAAGAATAGGAAGTTAAGGAGGGCCATGATTGCCAACATCCATGTTAAAGAAGGTTTAACACAACTACAAGAAACAGCTGAAGAGTAAATACTTCACCTTATCACTGTTGAAACTGCTTTTGAAGCCACTAAGCCAGCTGGAAATATTGTATGTTTTTGCATGGAGCCGTCCTTCATCTGTGGAGGGTAAAAAAGGTGGAAATGAAGCTGAAGGAATTCAGTGGCACTTCATAGAAATGCAGAAATATCTTGTAATGTGAGATTATTTATAATTATTATTATTAAGCTGATTATTATTTTTATATTACTAATATTATAACAATTTAAAACTAAAATAAAAATAGCAAAAAATAATATTAAAATGACTTAAAACTCATATAAATATGACAAAATAACAAAAGTTCTTTTAAATGATTCTGTACCTTTGCACATACAATTTACCGGAAGAACACTTTTTGAAGTAGCACACTTATTTTATAAGATACAAAATTTTTACCAGCATTACTATTCGAGATAGTACTTATATTTGATAAAAAAGACAAGGGAGATATTTAAAGTCTCAATGAGATAGATAGATAGATAGATAGATAGATAGATAGATAGATAGATAGATAGATAGATAGATAGACAAGGAAAGACCTAATAGATAGATAGATAGATAGATAGATAGATAGATAAACAGACTGAAATAGATAAATAATGAACAGCCTGAGATAGAAAGATAGATAGTGAGCTAGATAGATGAGATCAGATATATATATATATATAGAACCCAACTGAGATAGATAGATAGATAGATATGAACAGATTTAGATAGATAGATAGATAGATAGATAGATAGATAGATAGATAGATAGATAGATAGATAGATAGATAGATATGAACAGAATTAGATAGATAGATAAGATTTAGATATTTCTGCTAATTAAAACATGCTTTTCAAAATATGGTTCAATCATCTATGCAAAGCCGGTATCACCTTTCATAACTTACCAAATTTGATAAGGTCTTCCAAGAATCTGCATACATTTTGAGCTACTTTGACATTGTTCTTGTTGGCATTAATGATTTTTCTTAACAAATTCATTCCGGACTGTTTCTTCACATCTTTGTCTTTGCTAACCAGGAAGGAGTAAGCACTCTCCTCTGCCAAGAATTCAAGAACCCGTTTAAAATTTAATACAGATAACAAGTGAGCTAAATTTGGAAGAGAATCCAAATGAATAAAAGATATATAAGACAATTTCGAAAATTTGATATATATATATATATATATATATATATATATATATATATATATATATATATATATATAATCATTAATGAGTTCTCTCATTTTCTGTTGGTAAATGTGTTTATCCATGATTACAATTCCCTCGCCCTTATCAGAAATAGATATATGGATGTTTTTGTTGTTAGCTAATTCTTTCAGGGTTTTTCTGTATCTTTGAGAAAGTGTGGTGTCATTTGTTTTTTTGCATGTAGCTGTGAATACGTCTTGGATAAAATTTGTTAAAATCGGAGTCATTATGGTGATGATTTTTAATTATGTTATCTGCGGTGTCATATTTTGGTATTCCAGTACCAAATTTCAGGCCCAAACTGAGGGATACTAATTGTGTATCTGATAGTTGCAATTTGGATAAGTTTGTTATTAGGTCTTTACTGCTGACATTAGACCATTTGCTATTTTTAATGAATTTATTGAGTTTGTTTTGCAAAACACGGACATTCTTATTATTGTTATAGTTGCTTAATCTTCTTAGTTCATTTCAGTCATGGTTATGTCAGGAACTTCCTTTCATATATACCTTATGGTAAAGAATGGCTACTTCTTCTTCTAATTCCTGTATTGAATTTTCAAAAATTCATGGACATAAGGAGGGAAAATGTGGTGCGATGATTTGATGAGCTTGAGTGAGCAATGAGGAATAACTTTTTCATCAATGCAGTTTCAAAAAAAGTTTTTCTTGTTTTTATGTGAATAGGCAGACATTAATTGTTGCATGTATATTCTGACTATATCTGTGTCTATATTTTTGTTTTCCATGTCGGCAAATATGACAAAATTTCTCAGAGTTAACCTGTAGAAAAAGACAATATATATGAAAGGTAAAAAACAACAGGAAAACTTTATTATTAGCCAACGTGTTTCGTCTAATGTAGACTTTTTCAAGGCCAAAAACGAAATGAATATACATATATATATATATATATATATATATATATATAGATGATAAAAAAAATGTATAAAGATGTATAATGCATAAAATGTATTACAAAATATATATATATATATATATATATATATAAAAGTGAACATTGAAGTCAACACTCAGATGCGACAAGATGTTTCATGCTAGACGCAATCGTCAGGTGGCTTGAAAATTGCATCTAGCATGAAACAGCCTGTCACCTCTGGAGTGTTGACTTCAATGTTCACTTTTATATTTATATTTACATACGCTCTATCTCTGATATTGAGCACTTTATTCCATAGATATAGCACACCTTAAAACTATATTTCTTCATCTCTCTCTCTCTCTCTCTCTATATATATATATATATATATATATATATATAATTGGAGAGGATGCAAACAAAGAGGAAACCTTTACTTAACATCAGGAACAGGCAACTGAAATTTCTGGGACACATAATGAGAAAGGAGGGCTTAGAAAATTTGATATTCACAGGGTGGATAGAGGAGAAAGAAGAACAAGGGAAAGCAACATGTGACATACTTAATGGTCTTAAGTAAGGATATGACAGAACAGGGTCTTGGAGAAATAACAAATAATGGAAATAAGTCTGATAGGCACAGATCGAGCTTACTCAAAAAGAAAAGACTGTGTCTGGTTTTCACTAGAGCCAAAAAGGTAGATATTAGTCGGGTATATATTAGAGACAAAATGGTAGACATCAGTCTGGTTTATACTAGAGCCAAAAATGTAGACATTGGTCCAGATTGCACTAGAGCCCAAAAAGTAGACATGCCTCCATTTTACACTAGGACCACAAGGGTAGATATAGGTTCAGTTTGCATTCAATCCAAAAAGGTAGACATAGGTCTGGTTTACACTATAGCCAAAAAGTAGATATGAGTTTAGGTTACACTAGAGCCAAAAAGGTAGATATGGATCTAGTTTTCAATAGATCCAAAAAAGGTACATATGGGTCCAGCTTGCACTCAAGCTGAAAAGATAGACATAGGTTTGGTTCATACTATTTCAAATAGGTAGACATGGGTTCAGTTTAGACTAGAGCCAAAAATGTAGATATAGGTCCAGTTTACACTAGAGCCAAAACGACCCAGTTTATACTAGAGCCAAAAAGGTCAAACTTGGTTCAGTTTATACTAGAGTCAAAAAGGTAGATATGGATTCAGTTTACACAGGCTAAAAGTATACATAGATCTAGTTTACACAAGAGGCAAAAAAGTAGACATGGTCCCAGTTTATACTAGAGCCAAAAAGATAGACATGTGTCTAGTTTACACTAGCACTAAAAAAGTAGACATTGGTCTGGTCTATATTATAGCCAAAACGGTAGACATAGGTCTGGTTTACACTCAATCTAAAAATATCTGGTTTATTTCTAGAGCCAAAATGGTTGATATTGGTTCAGTTTATACTAGAGTTAAAAAGTTAGACATAGCCAAAATGGTAGACTTGGATCCATTTTATACTAGAGCCATAAAGGTAGACCTGGGTCCAGTTTATGCTCAACCCAAAAATTTTGACATGGGTCTAGTTTACACTAGAGTCAAAAAGGCAGATATAGACTGAGTTTGGACTTGAGAATGGAAAGTGATGTCTTTGTGAATAGGAGTATTACCTCACTACTGGGGATACAGTCAGGGTATTATATACTCCATCAACAGGGCTAAACTCTTGCATCTCTCAATAAAATATTTACATATTGAAAAACTTACTTACCATCATCAAAAATCATGTAAGCCAAAGTTGTGAGGCAAATGCAAATGATATCAGGATCCTGAAGATTGTCCCACAGAATGGATACCAGCAAAGGAAGTAAATTATTTTTCCGGAACTGAGTTATAATATTATCTGTAATAAAGCAAATTATTTACAAATGGTATATTCCAGTCAATCAATAAACAGTCCTCATATGATCATCAGAGTTAAATAATGTCAAGCCTGGTCAAATAGGTGACAACTTGGGAATACCAGGTCTGTAAGCTTGGATGTGCGGGTGGTGTAATGAATAATGGCTCAGAATTAAAAATCGGAGAGTTGTGTTCCAATTCCAGTCAGGTTCGTTATATTTACTTACATGCAAATACTCTTGGGAATATATATATATATATATATATATATATATATATATATATATATATATATATATATATATATATATATATTAAGATAAGTAAATGCTCTGTTTTATAATAAACAGTATTAATAACATTTACCGGCCTGAATGACCGAGAAATTTTCATAGAAAATATTCGTCCTCCGACAGGAATCGAACCTGTATCCTATACAGAACCGTCATATATCCTGACGTGCCTTTAACCAATTTGGTCACAGAGGAGCGTTCAGTTAGCAAGGTCAAATTTACTGCCTTTAAACTTCAATCTTCCATGAATCTTTCATGTACGTTCATATCTGCTCAAAGCATATCCAAATGTAAACAAAGGACATCACACATTATGAAATGGACAAAGTCCGACAATTATTTTAAGACATTTTTATGTTTATATATACTTTTTATAGATATAAATATTTAAGTAAATGCTCTGTTTATAATAAACAGTATGAAACAACATTTACGGCCAGAATGTCCAAAAAATTTTCATAAAAAATATTCGTCCTCCGACAGGAATCGAACCTGTATCCTATACAGAACCGTCATATAACCTGACGTACCTTTAACCGTCGCAGGACAGATATTATAAACAGAGCATTTACTTAAATATTTGTATCTATAAAAAGTATGTATGAACATAAAAATGTCTTAAAATAATTGTCGGACTTTGTCCATTTCATAATATATATATATATATATATATATATATATATATATATATATATATATATATCCCAAAGATATATATATATATATATATATATATATATATATATATATATATATATATATATATATATATATCATTGAATATGACAGACAAGGTGCTTTTATTTAGTTTTTTATACAATTTCTCATGCGGTCTAATAATTTTTTTCTTTTCAGATGATTAATTATATAAAAACTGTCCAAACGTACTTTTTATCCGAGCGCTTTCAGCTATACATTTAGACATTTTCAAGGATTAAATATTTTAACTATGGCACCTTGCATTATTAGAAAAAAAAGAAATATTCATAGAAATATGATTTAATTTTTTTTCTACTCGGTTTTAATAACCAGTCGTTAGTTTTTTAGACGAAGAATAATTGAGTTTGAAAATAATTCACTAAATTGTACTTAGACGATCCTAAAAGAAAAGGAAAAGAGGAAGAGAAAAGGAAGGAACAGAAAAAGAGAGAGGGAGGAAAAGGAAAGAGAGAGGTCGAGAAATGCAAAAGGCCGGTCATTAGCGAAAACAGGTGTCAGAAAGGTATCTAGGCCAACATGTTGGCCGAATTTTCGGAAGACAATGGGAATTGTTATTTAGAATGAAAAGTCATTTAGAGAGAGAAAGAGACCAGGCTTGATAAAAGTGTATAAACATATAGGCGATTGATAAAAATGTCGGTCGGAGCATATGACCGACTTTTGCGTAGAAGACTCATTATCAACTTGGAGAAATGGGATCTTTAGAACAATGGAAACGAAATTTTAATCGGATAAAAGGTGTCTTTTGGGATGAGGGGGTGACCGCTGGAAGTGTATACAGATTCTGACCTGTTAAAGATCAGAACTCCCACGATGATGAAGTGAAGACATTTTCAATTCAGATAATTAAGATTTTTGACTATCAGGTCTGAGCAAATACCAAGAGGTGAAAAAGACAATTGCTCTTGGCTCACAGAGGACGCCAAGAAGGCGGAAAGAATTCTTCCTGAAGTCATATCTAATTAGCGGCGGCTGTTTTGACAGAACCCAGGTGAGAAAAAGCCAAGATTATCGTTTTTTCGTGCGTGCGAAAAAAGACCAAATTGGATTTTGTTTTAGCAAGCTAATCCTTCCCAGAACAAGGACGGGATAAGTCACGCCCGATTGGAGACGTCACATATGTACGGGAGACGCCCAACCAGAATCTCATTAGCCGAAAACGGTCACGTGATATGCGGGAAAGAGGAGAAAGAATGCTCGATCAAGAACCATTGGTCGAAAACGGTCACCTGACATACGAGAGACCGGGAGAGATGGGTATGCGTCTTCCCCAGAGGCACTGTGAGGAAGTAGGGGTGAAAATAATAGCGGTAATGGGAAATCAGAAATAATGCGACTATTGGAATTATCGAGAAAACCCTGACGCCGACAAACCCACCCCGGTTTGTTGCGGCGTCAATAAAAGCAGGACCCCAGTCGACAGAAATGAGTTCCCCGGACGGCAGCGAGAAGAGATCACCTCGGACGACAGAGAGTTGAGTTCAGCCCCGGACGGCAGCAAGAAGGGTCCACCTCAGACAGGCAGTAAAGTTGCAGGCCAAACAAGCAAATCAGTTCCACCTCAGTCGACAGAAAAGAGTTGCAGGACGGAAGAAGAAGAAGTTGAAATCAAACCAAGCCCAAGAACAGAAATTCGACCAAACCAGATCGAAGTGAAGAAATACGTCCAACTCAAGCCGAAGAGAAGAATCAGCTGTGAACGACTGATAGAGATTAGCCCCAGTGTCGAACTAGACCACACCCCGACATACACAATTCTAAAGAGTAGACAACTCGAAATCTTTAAGTTGTATGATAGAAGCTTGGTGCCATAGTCCACAAAGCGGGTCGGGAAGTAAGAACAATTTTTATGTAACGAACATTAGATATAAAAGGTTGTTACCCTTTTTTATCAGTAATTTTTTGTCTCGTGAGTTTTTTTTTCTTTTACTTGTGTTTTGCCACCCCCGTCGGACTCAACTTGCATACGGCCCCAATCCCTGTTGGTCCCGTCTGTCTAAGATCTAATCACAACGTGGGTAGACAGACCGGAGATCAGTACAGTTGCTCTAGTAACCAGGTATTGGAAGCGGGTTGGGAAAGGCGAGGCTGGTAATCATCTAACCAAGGGGTTGGAACGGCACACTTGGAACAGCGAAGAGCGACCAGGAGGAGCGACGTCACAGTTGGCGCCGTAACCAAAGGATTCGACCCTGGACCAGGTGTACTCCGTCACATAACTGTTAAATAAGAAAATATTTTAACTGTTAAATAATACAGCTTTCTGACCATAGCTCAATTAGATCTCATTTAAATATTCATGGAGACCTACCAGGCACTATTTGCAATATACAATACTAATATAATAACTTCATCTACATGAAAAAAAGGCTGCATGTGAAATTGTATAAAAAAACTGAATAAAAGTACTTTGTTGTATTCAATGAAATATGCATGAAAGAAGGATTGCTGCCTAAATACACAAATATATATATATATATATATATATATATATATATATATATATATATATATAAAAGTGAACATAAAGTCAACATAGAGGCGACAGTCTGTTTCATGCATGAAACAGACTGTATGTTCACTTATATATTTACACACGCTGTATCTCTGATATCGAGCACTTTATACCATAAATATAGCACACCTTAAGACTATATTTCTTATATATATATAGGGTGTAACACCAAAATTGTCCAAATTGGGTAACAGCATCTATCCCACAAAATGTTTAATATCTAAAAATCCAATAAAGTAATTGTTTAATTTTGTCTGTGTTATGAGATAAGACGTTTAGCCATCTTGACATCATTTTTCACACGAAGCACTGAAAAATCATTTGAGTTATTCAGCTAAAAAGAGAAAAGAGTAAAATGGTTTTATGTCAGACCCACTGTAATGGTACCAACATTCATATTCTGGCTTCCATCTTCAAAGTCCATTGAAGAACCATCAAGAGAACGATGAATAAGTTAAAAAA